AAGAGGCAGGGTCCTTTGTGTCCCATCCTCACCTTCATCCTGCCTGCTCACACCAGGTCATAGTGGCTGTCCCTACCCTCACAGAATCCCAGTCACAGACCTCCTTGCTGTGCCCAGCCTTGGAGGCCAAGCCAGCCTGTTTCTGGTTACCTTATGTGAACCACTAATTGAAGACTGATGTTCTTGGCCCCCAAACAGTCAGAAATGACAGCTCCGTCTCCAGCAGCTGGGCGTCCTTGGAGGAGCCACAAGTAGGGCAGGGCAAACTCAGATCCTGACCAGAAAGCTTACTCTGCTGCCCACTTGCTCAGAGGCCCTGGCCATAGGCCAGATGACTGCCCTGGGGAGCTGGAGGAGCAGGGCAGAGCCACAGCAGAAAGCAGTGATCACTAGCACCCGCGATGGTCACAGAGCTGGTTCCTAGGGCCCAGGTGTAGGCTAGACACAAGCAGGCACTTACATGCCAGTACGGGTGGTAACAGGCCCATCCTGATGATCTGTCCCTTCCTCTACTGAAAAGGCTGACTTGACCTGCAGGAGCCATTCCAGTCCAGCTTCCACTTAAGTTGCCTGGAAGATATGACGAGGAGGGCCTGCAGGCCATGCAACCCCCTAAGAGCTCTTTTGGCTCCCCTGGTTTAGCTTCTGACCTGCAGAAGGGCCTGAGTGAGGGCAGCCAGACACCCAGCCAGCCCTGTGGGCCCACCTGGCAGCTTGGTCCTGTATGTGTGTATTAGCAATGTCCTGAAGGCAGATTTGAGGGTAGCCAAGGGTCAGAATGCCCTGAATACAGGTGTGGACAGAGAGGGCAGAGGGTTCCTGTGGTCAGACTGGGCTGGATACACTCTAGTCAGAAGAACCCAGGGGGCTGGAGCCAATCCTGTCTGGCTGCCTCTCAATCCTGGTAGCCAGCCTTGGGGTGTTCAGTTGGGTTCTGTCTCTCTCTCTCCAGGGTGTAGAGCGCATTGATGAGCCTGGCTTGCGGAGTCTGCGCACAGCAAGGCACCTGGAGCCAGGCATGGTGCTGACCGTGGAGCCGGGAATCTACTTCATCGACCACCTCTTGGACCAGGCCCTGGCAGACCCAGCCCAAGCCTGCTTCTTCAACCACGAGGTCCTGCAGCGCTTCCGCAACTTTGGTGGGGTGAGTAGCTGGGGGCCCCACATTCTTATTCCCAGAACGTCCACCACCCCACTGGTGCCTCAGAGAAAGGTGGAAGGACAGGTGACTGTGTTTAAGGCCTGGCCACCCCCTTTATTATGTGGGCTATCACAGATACCTTGCCTCTCAACAGGAAGAGATTCTTCAAAATGCCTACCAGTCCCAGAGGCTCCATGTGAGCACACAGTATAAGCAAAGGACCACACAGAAGCCTCCCCCTATGTCTTCCCCAGAGGTTCTGAGACCAGTCTGTCTTGTCACAAAGACTAGTCCCATCCCTCAGAGAGCTTCCCCCAGGTAGCAGTCAAACTGGAGCAGGTTGGCACTGCTAATGTGACAAATTAAGGCAGCAGGGACATGATGGCATCCTGTCTGTATGACACAGGTCCGTATCGAGGAGGATGTTGTCGTGACTAACAGTGGCACGGAGCTGCTGACCTGTGTCCCGAGGACGGTGGAGGAAATTGAAGCATGCATGGCAGGCTGTGACAAGGCCTTTACACCCTCCTCTGGCCCAAAGTAGAGCCAGCTGGGCGCTGGCCTCGTGACCCTTCTCTGTGATGTCAGCCTGCCCATGGCACCCCATCAGCAATCAGATCCTGGAGCTCACATTTGATCCTACAAAACCATCACTGCCGTTTCCAAGGGAGGACAGCATTTTATTAACCTGCAAGATCACATCCCTAACCTTGACTGTGCTTAAATGACTGACTCTGTTGATTCAAAAAAACTCAATCCTCTTGCTGCCATTTATATCCATGTGCTCAGGAAAGATGCACTTGTGTCTTCTCCAAAACAATCAATGTGCAGAATGGAATTTGCAATAAAAGCTTTTCTAAATGGCCCTTTGTACCCAGCAGCTTCCTTTCCTCCTTCAAAGAAGAGCATGACAGCCATGGGCCGAGATGGCTCACCAGGTGTCAGCTGTAGGAGTCTGCTCCCAGGAGGAGTGCATGCACAAGGCCCTGTACCCTCCCCTTCTGCCTTGGAGTGGTCTGGGAGAACCAGGGGAGTCCTCCACCAGGGCTTTCATTGAGCCACAGGGATTCTGCTAAAGTTAGTGCGACACTGTCACCTGCTGCCAGGATTCCCAAGCAAGCAGGCACCAGAACCACTAGGGCATTTGGTAGGAGGTTCTGGGGCCTTGATTTCATTTTTTACTAGTGAAGATGGAGGGTGTCGGCCAGCAGCACTGACTGCCTAAGGCAGCAGGGTGGCACAGGAGAGCCTGCTACCCAATCTGTCTGTTGTACCACCACCCCAATAGTCTGCTGACCCAATTCCATCCCAAGGCTGTGAGCCTGTGGGGCCCAGCTGTGCCCACGGTGGAACACTTGTCTTCTCTGCTTGGACCTGCCCTGCCCCCAGAGCTGGCTTCTAAAATCGATAAGAGTTCCGGGTTGCAAGTGAGAAAGGTTCCACCAGGGTGTGGCTCAGTGGAGTGCTCTCCCAGTACTGCCATGCCTGTGATCCCAGGACTGGGAGACTACAGGCAGAGGATCAGGAATCCAAGGTCATCCTTGGCTACACAGTGAATTTAAGACCAGCCTGGGACACGAGGCCCTTATCTCAAAACAGGCAGGCTGATCTCTGTTGAGTTACAGGCCAGCTAGGACTATAGAGAGAGACCGTGACTCCAAAATAAATAAAGTTTAAAAATAAAATAAATGGAGCTGTCATGGAGAAAAAGAACTGGTCCAAGCTAGAGACTTTTCAAGCAGCCACCAAAGGGTTTATTCACTAGAAATTGGCTTCTTCCTATGGCAATAACACAAAAGTGCTTATGATGTGGCCACAAGAAAATAAAAGGCACCAGAGAAACAAATGCTGATCTCAGTCCCAAAGCACCATTTATCTCATTTACTTCTTAGGTTTACAACATCCAATCTTAGGGGTTTCGCTGGTACAGATGGCCCATCCCCATCAGAGACATGGCAGTATGAGTAAACTTGGGCTAACTTTATCCCATGTTCCTAAAGCTATATCCATCTCCTCCAACTTCTGCAGAAATTTGTATAGCTTCAAAATCGGATTAGAGACCCTTCCAGAAAGTTCTACAGTGCTGAAGCCTTCCCCACACTCTGGAAGGGCCCAGTATTAACTGAGCATCTACTCCATGAGACATGAGCACAATCCATGTGCTCAGGGCCTGAAGTCTCCTTTGAAGCTTTGCTTCAACAGTACATCAGTATTGCCTCAGGCAATGAAAGAAAGGAAAATAACAGGATTGGCCTTGTACAGAGGCCTTGCAAGACTAGACCAAGGATTTGAAGTGAAAAGCAAGAGATGCTGCATTCCAAACACAAAGAGCTGCAAGAGGTGGGAGAATGGAGAGGATGAAGGAAAGGGCCACATACCAGGACTAGGGAGCAGAGGAGGTTCTGGAGAGCATGTGATACACTGCCATCCAGGAAGAACCATGAGGCATCAAGTCCATGCAGGAGAGGGTGCCGCCTCTGAGCTGGACAGGACTGAGTGGTAGGGGTCTGAAGCAGGCAGGTTCCAGGGCTACACTGAAGTCGCACTTGAACTTGGTGCTGTAGCAAAGCACCTGACAGCTACTTCAAAGGGAGGACTGAGTCAGGGGACAGGCTGTGGCACAAGACAATCTTGGGGTGGGACTTTTTTTTTATTGCACAAGGTACAGTTAAGATACTCTTCAGATATGTACAGGCACTTCAAGAACTGGTCATTCTCAAAGTGTTTTTATTAAGACCTGGTTTCATCACAAAGTATAAAATTTTCTAATACAAGTTATTAGCAATAAACTCCAACTAGAGCGGGAGATTCTAGCTCAGTTGGTAGAGTACTCACCTAACATACACAAAGCCCCAGGTTCAAGCCCTAGTGTCACATAAAACCGGATGTAGTGGTACATACCTGTAAGGATTATATAAGGTACATACCTGCTAGGAAGCACTTGAGAGGTGGAGGCAAGAAGGTCGAAGTTCAAAGCCATACTTGGCTGCTTATCAAGCTGATGGCCAGCCTTGGCTACATGAGAACATCTCACAAAAACTAAAAACAAAAATTCACAACTAATTCATTCAAACGAAGTAGGATAAAACACACCTACAATTTTTGTTTTTTATTTTGTTTTTGAGATGGGGTTTCTCTGTGTAGCCCTGGCTGTCCTGGAACTTACTCTGTAGACCAGGCTGGCCTCGAACTCAGAGAGATCGGCCTGCCCCTGCCTCCCGAGTGCTGGAATTAAAGGCGTGCGCCGCCGCCACCACCACCCAAACCCTTCATCTCCATAATGCTGGGATTACAAACGTGCGCCACCACACTCAGCCACCCAATTTTCACAATCATGGAATAATTGGAACTTAGTTCCCCAAACACAAAAAGACTCAAAGAATCAGAGGAAAGCATGTAATTTTCCTTGAAACACACAATTCAAACTGGTTTCTTGGACTCACGATATTTCTGAAAGCAGCTACCTCACTTCCATACCCAGGTACCATGTAAGTAAAGATGGTATTTACTCTAAACTGTCCTGTTAGGGACCGGCCTCAGATGGAACCATAGGCTCCAACCACCAGGAGACAGTCCCTTTCATCATGTCCCTGCTCCAGGATGCAGTTTTAAGTTAGACCAAACAACTACAGACAACTGAAGATACAGTCCAAGTTTAGAGAAAACTACTTCACTGTCTATTCAGGGAAATCCAAACTTGCGCAAAAGCAGCCTGCTGGTCCACGTCCCCCAGCCCAGCCCAGCCCAGCCCAGCCCAGCCCAGGACAGCAGCAGGAGGTACCTTGCAGGTTCTTTGGGGCCAATTACAAATGAACTTCTTGCTCACCTCCAAGATAAAGAAACCCACAAAGAAAACCAGTCATTGTTCCAAAGGTATTTATTTTTAAATTCGTTGAAAGAAATAAAATTATATTTAAAAAAATAGAGTAATCTCACAAACTGAAAGCCAGGAACAAAAAGAACAAGTTAGTATTTTTCCTGAGAGGCAGATCTGATTAGCTGTATGGAATCTTCCCTAACCTGTCGCACACACAGGCATCGTTCCTAAGGCATCCGAAGCACTCCAGGTGCTCCACGGGTTGTTGAGGCACGAGGCTTCAGCCCTCTGGTGGGGGAGGGACGGCGGGGCGGGGGAGTAAGAAACATTAAGAGTCGCTGCCTTTCTTATCAAACTGTACACGTTTCTACTTTCATAGATTGAGAACTGTACAAAATGGGTGGGCTCATGACCTGGATTTCAAACCCCAGGTCATGTTTTAGTAAAATCCTTAAGATTCCAAAGTCCCTCTCACAAAGAGCCAGACACACCCAAAACTCCACACCCCAAACTAGTCAAGGGCACCCATCCCAGGTGACACAGGTGTGGCTAATCCACGCTATAGCTTGATTCCTAAACCACCGGACCTGTCCACAAGGCAGATCAAACTCTAAAAGGTTCCCCAGTAACGAGTTACAAAAGCCACTTTACAATTTCCAAAGTCCTAAGCTTACCCACTCCCCAAACCTAGTTTCCCTCAATTTTACACTGAGAACTCTATCAAGCTAAACATTATTTCCCCTTCAGTAAGAAAGTCCAAACGCCAGCTAACAATGTATTCTATGTGGAACTGCTTGCTTGTGCTAATCATCTGATTTGCAAAGGTAAGAAGAGCACAGGTAGAACTGATGTGTATGTTCTGATTAGAAATACTGAGCAGCTTAAGTCCTTGCACCAGTAAGCACAATTCCACGAGAATGTCCACTTGTGAAAGCTAGTATTTGGAAGTAGGACTTTCTAATGTCTGAATGTCTATTGTGTGTTCAAGTGGGACCTAACTCTATCTCCCAGTAAATTCATTACATATTATCAATCCACTGGTAAAGATTAGGATTATATGGGTGCATCCTTGTTAGTTATACAAAACATCTATCAATCTTTATGAGATGGTTATTCCAACCAAGGTAAACTGGTGCTGGACCCTAACTTTTAAAAACCCCATTCATTTCTTGGTTCCCCAAAAACAGTGTTGACTCCTGTCTTCGGCACAGTGGCCCTAAAAGGCTTTGCTGAGCTGCAGGGCACCAATAGCTTCTGCACAGGAGAACAGAGTCCATACTCTTCTGTCACGCTCAGGGAGCAACCTGAGTTACACTGCGGTTACAGTAACCAAGTCTTATAGGAAACAGGACCAGAAATGACCATGTTCAAACAAGATTCCCGGCTACACAAACTGTGATCATGCAAGACTCATGTTTTAGTCACCATCTCAGGAAGCAACAAACTTTAGCTGGAACTGTGCAAGACAATCTACACGACAACACTGATAAAAGCAGGCCCTAGAGATACCCTACCGGCTTGTCAGTTTCACAACACAAAAGTCAATATCCTGAGTTTTATCAGCATTTTCTCTCAAATAATTTATACAGAACATAAAAGCATACTAATGGATAAACAGAGGCAACACCACATGAAGTCTGGAAGAACACCTCACTAAACTAGAAAAGAAATTCCTCAAAAAAATAAAAATAAAAAGATTTAGGAAATAAATTAAAGATTGAAACCTTATACTTTCAAGTTTTCTTTGACTAGTCTTTTGAGAGATGGCATGAAGTTGATACATTTTTCTAATAATCATTTGAGATCAAATACCAAAATGTGCCTCTTCACACAAGCGCACACAAAAAAACCCCTGCCTTTAAAAAGCATGGCCCTGTTGGCAGTTATTCTACCAAAAGAGTTAGTATTCTTTTTTTGCTGTTTGTTTTTTTTGTTGCTTTTGTTTTTGAGACAGGGTTTCTCTGTAGTCCTGGCTATCCTGGAACTCACTCTGTAGCCCAGGCTGGCCTTGAACTCAAGAGATCTTCCTGCCTCTGCCTCCCGAGTGCTCAGACTAAAGCTGGTGCCACCATGCCTGCCACCATGCCCAGCATAAATTAGTATTCTAAATCATGGTCTGTATCATCAAGCCAAGGCATTTTATTTACTAACTTGGCTGTCAAAAAATGGTTTCTCCCCCCAAAACAAACGCTCCCTTTACTAGCATCCACAGAAACTAAAATGTCAGCACACAGTAGATGCTGGTTTTGAAGGACACATGAGAATGCTAATCCAGTAGACCAAAGGACCCTCAGAGTTCAATCCAATCTCTGCATGCCCTTTAAAACAAACAAGGGAGGAAAAAACAACACTTCTTTCCTTCCTAACTGTAATTTGTATTTTTAACCACCTCTTTGGTGTGACCTGAATGGGGTTTCTTTACTTTGCCTGAAGTTATTTTTAAAAAATATGTACTTGTTGGGAAAAACAATGCCAATTATGCTAACACAGGTTTATACTAACTATAAAATGGGGTCAAATTATGATGATTGGTTTCTGAAGCCCTAGAATTTACAATACACAATTTAGACTAAAATCACAAGTTAAGGAACACAGATGGAATCCAGCTTTTCTTAATCCAAGGTATTGTCTCATTAAAACCCAAAACCTTCTATATGACCTTCCATTTTCCCATTCCTAGAAAAGAAGCATTTCTGGGGAAGTCAGGATTTATTAAGAATATTAAGGTCCAGGAATTTTGTTTTAACCATAAACCCCAAGTTTTCTTTTAGTGCTTCAAAAATCCATCATTTAAGACCAGATAAACTACATGGCTAATCAACTGTTCAGAGCTGAGCCCAGAAAATAACCTCAATGGAACAGGACCACGCTCAGCCATTGAACCAAGTGGTGCAGGGCGGTCACACCTCTCAGGTTCAAGCCACAAAGCTGCGCTGTCTGGAAGGAGATCTACTGCCCCGTGTTATCAGAATTTGTCGTAGTTTCAGTGCTGATGGGCTGCACGTTGTCTGCGAGGTTGTGTGCGTGCTCAAGAAACAAATCTTTCAGTACACTTAATTCCTTTGTCAGCAACTTAATTTTGGCTTCCAACCGTTCATTCTCTTCCTTGAGCTGGTTCACTCTCTGCAGTGTGTCTTGAGCCTTCTGCTTGCTTTTTAACCGGCTCTTTTTCACGGCCATATTGTTCCGCTCTCTGCGCTGGCGGTACTCGTCACTATTGCGATCCATGGGTGAACTCTTTTTGCTTTGCTTGCTTGGAGGCACAGCTTTGCCTCCTCCCCCAGGCCCGGCGGGCACCAGCTGAGGAACCTGCTGTAAGCCACTGGCATGTGCCTGAGTATGAATGACACTTATTCCGTTCACTGCTGGAGTAGTGGCTGGCTGCGGCAGCTTGCTCATTTGGGCGTGTTCCTTTGCCAACACAGAACAGGTAGAAATCAGAGCAATGTGATCAGCAGAGGTCACACTCAACTGCCAAAATATCTTCACATGTACCTAGTTAGAAAATAAATTGCATTAAAATATTAGAAATGACAGGATCAAGTAAGATTAAACTTGCATGGCCCTAACACAGCAGGCAACCACTAATTGGTTTTGCTGACACAAACAACTGCCAACTGTTGCCGTGTTTCCAAATTTCAAAAGGTAAGCTGGTTCAGAAGCACCATAAGTTGAAGGCCAGCCCCACCTGGGGCTCGCTGTGATTATCAAAAAGGGAAGGAGAACAAAAGCGTAGCACATGTGAGCCAGGAACACTCAGACAATCTGCCAGGGAGAAATTTGAGCTGTCTGGTTGGGGGGAGCACGGAAAAGCAAGTTCAGTGATTGTAGAAGAGCACCCGCAATGAGAGGAAGGCGTTTCAAATCAGGTTAGAATGCTGGATCAGAAAGCTCAATCTGCAGAACCCATGAGGATCGGGGTGCCATTATGATCCTAGCACGTTCCTTACTCAATATTCCCAAGGTGACTTAGCAATGACTTCACCTATTATGGGCTATTTTCTTAAGGCAGGGTACTTTCAGTTGGTTAGTTGATTTGCCTTTTTACATTTTAGCAACCTTAAGTGTCAGTTTACTGAAATTTACTCAATCTTTCTTGTATTTGGGAACGGAGACATCCAATAAAGTACCCCCACGCCTGCATCAGTTTTTCATTCTTGACACAATCACCTAGCCCAGCAGTTCTCAACATGCAGGTTGTACCCCCTTCGGCAAACCTCTATCTCCAAAAAATAGTTACATTACAATTTGTAACAGTAGCAAAATTACAGTGATGAAGTAGCAACGAAAATAATTTTATGGTTGCGAGGGGTCACCACAACATGAGGACGGTATTAAAGAGTCACAGCATTAGGAAGATTGAGAACCACTGGCCTAAACATACTGATTCACAAAAGAAAAACTACTAAGACCTGGCTTGCTATGATTGTAACTAATCCCTCTGGCCACCTGTGAACTGTGACATGTGAAAGCACACCTACTCCATCCCCATGAGAACATGTGTCCCCATCTAGGAGACACAGCACCCTTAGAAATGTAGGAAGCATTATGATCCATCACACTGCTGCTCTAGTTTCCCAGAACTGCTAAAATGACATCAATGGACAAAGTTAAGGAAATTAACTAGAGTTAGGAAAATGCTCCAATGAGTACACCCATGGTTATTAAGAAAAGTCCAATCAGTAAACATCAACAGCTTCACCCAAACTTTAGCCAAGCCTGCTTATTACGCTGGCCCTTTATTATTTATTACTATTAATCTTTGCCTTTAAATGTCCATATATCATTACTCTGAATTGTTTTCACAGCCACTCAGCCAGCCCTGAGCTAGTGGGTCATCTGTTCTTGCTCCAGCACTAAAGCCAGACAGAGAGCTTCCTCCCAAGCCATGATGGATATGGACTCTGAGTTACGTTCAATAACAGACATTTCACAATTTCCCTTGAAAATGATTATGTGGCCTAATTTCTCTCCCACTTAAAAGGTAGTTGTTCAAAATAAAGAAAGTAAACAAATTAATTAAAAAATATGAAGTGGGTATTCAATATTAACTTAAGCCACCCTGGCTGCCATGAACGCTGTTGCTTATCAAGTTGGTATAATGTGTTTAATCCAAATTTAAGGACTTGTAAAATTTAATACTTCTCCCAGGACTCTATTTTCTTATATTTTTATTCTTCAAAGCTAATCTCTACAGTCAATTTGTCCTACCTCAAAGATAGCCAATGATCCAAAGAAGTGCAGACTAGAAACCAGATCCCGTCTGTCCTTGGCTCTGGCTCCCTCACTTCCACCCTGGACACACCACCCCTTCCCTCTTGTGAGCTTCAATTCCCCCCTCTGTACAGGAGGGATGTGGAAATGGTATGATGCCACAGCTAACAAAATACCATCAACTCTAGTCACTACCTACTTATTCACAACAGGCTCCAAATGCAGGGATGGTCTGCCTATTTCTGAACCAAAGATACAAGAATGGGGTAGGGTTCTAACTACTCTTACTAAAGTGCTAACCAGAACAAAGGAGAGGTTTTGAGTGAGTCTTTTGGCTAGAAAAACCAGAGTATTGTTTATTGAACCTACAAACTTGCAAGAAAAAGGGAGAGGAAATAAAAAGTAACTCATGATTGTTTAAAAAAAAAAAAAAGTAGGCTGGACAAAGTGGTGCATGCCTTTAATGCCAGCCTTGGGAGGTGGAGTCAGGTGGATCTTCGTGGCTAGCCTGGTCTACATAGCAAGTTCCAAGACATCCAGGGCTATGTAGACAGATCCTGTCTTTAAAAAAAAAAATAGGCTAGGCAGTGGTGGCACACACCTTTAATCCCAAGCACTCAGGAAGCAGAGGCAGGCAGACCTCTCTTGAGTTTGAGGCCAGCCTGATCTACAGAGTTCCAAGACAGCCCTACACAGAGAAACCCTGTCTTGGAAAAAAACAAAAACAAATCTTCAACCAGTAGATAAGCCAAAAAGGTAACTTAAAATGAGGAGAAAATGAGACAGAGGATCACGGAGCTAACTTAGCAGGCATCAAACAGATCAGCTTTGGTTGTGCACTGAACACACTTGTCCTCTGTGCCTCTGTTCCGTCCACAAACACGGGCTGAGCTCTCCAGAAAAGCAGTCTGACATTTAGTATCTGGCTATTTAACCCGAGTCAAAGTCTGGCTCCTGGATGGACTAATCTATTCCAAAGTTCAGTCCACAGGAGCAGGGTGCCGCCTTCTTCCTCTACTTGGCGATCACCCAGGAAGCAAAGGCGAGCTGAGGGGCAGCAGCCCTCACAGCCCTCACAGTGGACCACGACATCAGCACTGCTCTGCAAGTGCTGATTCCCAGGCTGCCAGCCTGAGGGACACGTTCTGGATGTGGGCTTTCAGGGTCCTGTTTTAGGGGAGCTCCCCAGGATTTCAGCGACACTGACCACAGAGAACTATGGCTGCATATAAATAATCAATCTTAAGAATGTGGGGCTAAATGAAACGACTAACAGATTTTTTCAAATGCAATTTAATTCAAATAATGCTCATTCAAAAGGGTAAAACAATGAAACTTTGAAATGTTAGAATAGTAAAATAAAATGGAATTTTTCTCAATTTTTACTTAGAACAATAAACCTGTACAGAATTTTCCTAGTGTGTCATTTTTTTCATAAACCTGGAAAGAACAACATATTTCCTTCCTCATTTGCCTCTCAAAATAAATTTTTCACTCAATTTCCTTAATGAAGGTTGAGTCTTCAAAATTATAAACAAAAACCTATCACATCTATTGTCCCTCTTAATGCCACCAAAATTACCTCAGGCTGACATCATCTCTCAGGGGCCCCGGTCTCGGGTGTAGCAAGCAGCCTGTGCTCTCTCCACTCACTAACTAGACTACCTAGACCAGTGGTTCTCAACCTTCCTAATGCTGCGACCCTTCAATGCAGTTCCTCATGCTGTGCTGACCCCAACCACACAATTATTTCCATCGCTACAACTGTAATTTTGCTACTGTTATAAATCACAATATAAATATCTGTGTTTTCCAATGGTCTTAGGTGACCCCTGTGAAAGTGTCGGTTGTTCGACCCCCAAAAGGCCTGAGCCCTGTGCACAGGTTGAGCTGGTTGCTCATCTAGAGCAATCTTCCACTCAAACCTCATTATGTCACAGCTTTCCCTTATGCTCAACTCAGGGCCTCTGCACTACCAAGTGCCTCCCCAATGGTCTGGTTTCTTCTTTGTGCTTGCTGTCCGGTCTGCTCCCCAGTTTCTTTGGCAACTCCAGCTTCAGTGTATCTCCCTGGAGACTGCTGGAGGCAGGGTCCATGAAAGAGGACACTCCTTCAAGGAGTTCTGTGTAAGCGGTCCACTGGAATACGTGAAGAAAAAGTATGCTTGTTTGGATGCTATCCTTTAAACCTAATCAGAGTACTATTTAGCACATTCAAAACAAAAATATTGTTTATAAATATGCATTTATTAGGAGTTCCTGTTCAGGTTTCATTTTTTTTCTTTTTCTTCTTTTTCCCCTTTAATGGCAGGGCAGGACAAGGGGATAGATAGGTAAGGGACCAATAAACTTAGTCATTACTGTTACTGAGTGAGGCAACTTTTGACCAGGTCCTGTGTCTCTTTCTCATGATCTCAGGAGGGAATGTTCCCAGGGGTTTTCCCGGGGAACATTTAATTTACCAGGGATGAAAGCACCTCTCAAAGATCACAGAGCCTGGCTGACAACCATGTCGTGCTTGCTTGTGAGAATTTAAAGGATACTAGGGGAGGGGTGATGTCCGTTCCCACCTATTTGTTTCTGGTAGGTAATAAAAATAACTGAGCCAGCCAAGCGTGTCCACCAGAGGCAGGAAACAGGCTTAAGTTTTTCTTCAGCTCAACAGCATCCTGTAATTATTTACAGTTTTTCAGAAGCAGGGAAATAACCCCAGGAGTTGCTTATCAAAAATACTACTCAAGTGGCAACAACTGAACAGACCTTCGAGCTCTTTGAAGGCTAGGAGTGTGGCTCAGAGGTAAAGGGGTTTGCCTACCATGCACTGAATTCTTCTATGTAGAATCCCTCAGTAGAGAAAGCCCTTACAGTGCTTTACTTCAAATTTCCCTCTGTGAAGACAGGTCTGCATTCAATGATAATATATTCAAATAAGGATTCAAGGGGGTGGAAACTCGGAGACACAACCCCAGCTGTTGTGCAACCCACAAAGGTTAAAACCTTTCTAAAATTGACACATCTTATGATGCAGCTTACCCCCCCCCAAAAAAAAACAAAACAAAAACCAAAACCAAACACATACACACACACCCCACAAAAAAAAAAGAAAAAGAAAGGAAAAACCACCCTCAAACAAGAGCAAGCTAAACATGCCAACCTTCTTAGGACCAGAAACACACAAGCGCACTTGGAAAAAGAGGCCATCCTTCCCCTCACACATGCATGCTCAACCTCTCCACCTGGATACCTCCGCTGGCTCTTTTCCCCCGTTCCCTCCAGCCGTGCTAAGGAAAGACTTCATGGCTTGACCTTCTGCTTCTAGTGAACTGGTGGTCGATGCGCGATTTAGGATGCCCTCCCCCTCCCAGTGAACGGCAGGACACGCGACCGTCTCCAACACCAAAGCCCCTCTTGCAACGTTATGTGTTTAAAAATCAAGTGCTTTCCCTGGTGGTCACTAGGTTATTAACTCCAAAGAGGACCCGGGCCCTCCCCGCCCCGACCGAGCTGTTTGGGAAGAGACAGGAAAGAGTCCTAGGTGGCTCCAAAGTAAGATTCGGTCCACCTTCTATTCGAGGAACACCCTCCATCCCCAGGGGCCAATGCGCGCCGGGCTTGTCACGCTGCACGTCGCAGGGGGCCGGGTTCTGGAGGGGCCACCTGGTCCTCCATCCCTTCCCCGACGGCGGCGAGGGGCGCCCGGGGGAGCGCGGGGGTCGGCGCCAGGCGAGGCGGCGCTGGGCCGCAGCCAGGGATGAGCTCAGCCCCGCCGGGTGTTGCCCGCAGGTTGCATCAGACGCCGCTCCGGGCCCCCGCCCGCGCCACCAGCCGCCAGGGGCCTTCCGAGCCAGCCTGCCGATTCGGGCAGGGCCGGGTCTCCTCGGGCCGGGCCGGCACCTACGCGAGCGGCGGGCTTGGCCGCGGCCTCCACCCCCGACCCTCTCCGAGCAAGAGCCCACGGCCTCCTTACCTGCGCCTCCGGCCGGCCCGCCCGCCCCCAGGCGGCCTCCACTCCGAGCGGCCCCGCGCGGCGCGGCCCGACCCGACCCAGGCCTCGCAGCCCGCGAGTCGGCGAGGAGGAGCGACGGTTACGAAACCGGCAGCCTCCGCCCGTTCCGCCACCGCGGCGACCGGCTTTCCCCTCCTCGTCGGGTCCGCGCGCGGCCGCCGCCGCCGTGACCAATAGAAGCGCTGATCTGAGTGCGACGTGCTCGGGGCTCGAGACGGGCAGCTCCACCAGCCAATCACCGGCCGTGTGGCGGCGAGAGGCGGGCGCGCGGCGAGGGCGGGACCGGCGGGCGTGGTGGGCGTGGCGGCACCGGCGGGGGCTGCAGGCGCGCTCTGGGTTTCACACTTTAGGCTGCTGGCGCTGGCGGGCGGCGGCCTGAGCTGTGGGAGTGACCCGCACGCAGAGAGAAAAAAGTTCTGTCCGAGTTGGAGGCTTGAAAAGACGATCACCTTGTGAGGGCCTCACCTGCCTTTGGGAAACGACGTTTCCTGAGATGGATTTTTGAGTGACTGAATTTTGTGTTTAGGCCTTAGGGCCTTGAGACTTTTGCAAACTTTATTTTGACGAAAGCAAGTTAAGGAAAAACCCTGTCCAAAGTAGAGTTAGCACACTTGTCACACTTGAGAACTGCGGACTCCTGTGGCTCCCTGTCAGATCATAAGTATGCTCGCCTCTGAGGACGGGTGATGGACATGGCATGGTCTTTTAACAGTGACTAGCAGTCCTGGTTCTCCCAAACAGTTCGCAGGAGGATCGAAAGCATTTTTGAAAAACAGGAAGCAGCGCGCTGGGTGGAGGGCAGAGCCCGCCTGCCTGATAGGTTTGATTGCTTCCTCTTTAGCAATGCTTATCATTCAAAACTCACTAGCTTTCAAAGAGGAAATGTTTCTTCATCGCCAAGGCCAGGAGAGCAACTCTCCACCTAAGACTGCTTCGAGGAATCCCTGGGAGATGAGAATACCTGCAAAAAGAAAAAAAAAAAAAGAGCAACCACAGAGAGTGAACCCTGATAAACCTGTGCCACAGTTGGGAAGCTAAGAATGTCATCAAAACCAGTATGTCTCTTTCGGTTCGGATCCCTGTGTTATGAGCCGACATTTCTGCAAGACTACAAAGTTGGACTATGCTTTGTTGCTCACAAAATCATGATTTTTAATATTTTCCAGTCATGTAAAAACTGTATAGAAAACAAAAACAGCCTTACACATCATGTGTACACTGAGTGGCCTCTGGTTTGCCAGCCACTCCGCTAGCTGCGTTCTGGGTTGTGTCTGGGCAAGCCTTCCACACCCAGCAGTCAGGCAAAGCCCAGGAGTCTTGAGATTTCCTTGTTAGCTGATAGCTAGTAGTGTTTTTCCTGTTTACAAACATGTATTGGTGCCAACTGTGTGCTCAGGTGTGACCTAAGCTGGGAGTCAGCAATGAAGAAGACAAATGCACAGTCCCTGCCTCCGTGCAGCTTCCTCTGAGAACCAGAGAGACATGATTCAAGCACCATTTTCATAGATGCTTAAGGAACAAGTCCAAATGCTGAGGTTATAAGAGGGGGACCAGACCTGATCTAATGCGTCAGAGAAGGCCTGGGGACGAGAAGGGTTTGCTTGGGTGGCGCTAACGACTTGATACACCAGTCGAAGGTGGTACCTGCCTGGAGGCCCTGTGATGGGAGGAGGAACTTCAGGTGGAAGTGGCTGAGGCAAGAAGCTCCAGTGGAGATTGATGGGGTAGAGCTGACCAGGTGAACCCAATAATGGTTTTGATCAGGGAATATTTGAACCCAGGGGTACTTACAGGGTAAGCACGCTACCACTGAGCAAAACCCCAGTCGAGAAGAACTGTGTTTCACCCTCAGCCATCGGAAACACTCATCATAAGGAAATGAGAGCCTGATGAAGACTTTGCCTCCAGGTTGAAGAAATCTAGGTTGCCTTCTTGCAAGTCACAAAGATTCAAGCCGTCTGAGTAAAGGAAAAAATGTCCTGTATATATCTGTGCCTCATGAATGTCCAAAATATACCCTAGAAATCCAAAGATGTTGTAATCCAGCAGTATATTAAAATCTCCTTTAAAAGGACTTGAAAAGTAGGGGATCCTATTGGTTGGACAATTTTGCCACTTGACAACTACTGTGACTAATCACAGGTCGCCTAAGTGCTGTGGTCCAGTGTTTCAGAATATTTGTTTACACTGTAAAGATGTCTCTGCCTAAGGCACCTTCTGGCTGGTTTAATGAAGAGCTAAATGTCCAATAGCTAGGCAGGAGAGAGTAGGTGGGACTTCCGGGCAGGGAGAGAGAAACTGGGAGGAGGAATCCAGGCACGTGATTTCACCAGCAGACTCGAGCAAGTCGAGCAAGTCGGAAGTGCTGTACTAAGAAGAGGTAGCCCAGCCATGGGGCAGAATGTAGATTTAAAAAAATAGGTTAATTAAGTTATAAGAGCTAGTTGGGAAAAAGCCTAAGCTAAGGCCAAGCTTTCATAATTAATAATAAGTCTCTGTGTCATTATTTGTGGGCTGGAGGTCCAAAGATAGTCCAACAAGAAAGCTTGCTACAGTACAATCAGAATGTTCACAGCTCCAACTCTTGCATAGAAATGTGACCTTAGGCAAATTATTTAACCTGTGTCATCTGGAAGTTGGGATTGTAGTTGGAATTTTCTTTGGGCCACCAACCAGCTCCCACTAGCTCTTTTTACTAAATTTAACCTGTTTCTATTCATCTACATTTTGCCTCAGGGCTTTTTACCTTTCATTCTGTATGTCCTACTTTCCTGCTTCCTCTGTGTCTGTCTGTTTGGCCCCTGGCATCTCCCTGGTGTCCCCCTGTCTTTCTCCTCAAGCCTAAATTCTTCCTTTTACTTACTCTCCCTACCCAGAAGTCCCACCTATACCTCCTCCCTCACTATTGGCCGTTCAGCTTTTTATTAGACCAATCAGGTATCTTAGGCAGGCAAGGTAAAACAGCAACACATCTTTACATAATTAAACAAATGCAGCACATCTTTCCAAATATTCTGAAACGGGGTTAACAACAGTGTTACTTTGAGGATTGAAAGAATTAATATATGTTAGGCCTCTGCCTCATATTAATAGGAACTATTAATATGAAGTATTGATTAGTACTTTCGTGATCCAAATATGTGAATAATGAATGAGTATATTCATAGGAGTAGACTGAAACACACTTCAAAGTTAAGACATGTTTACATTGCTCTAACGACTCAATCACTCAAATACATATAACATTGAAGATGTTGATACTAATTGTACCCATTAGATTTTTTTCTAATAGTAAATTTAATTACCACATCTTCATCTGTTTCCATGAAATAAGGATGGGAAATTAGTAACCCATTTTTTCTTTTAGATATACTTTTTAAGTTAGATATATGTTTATGTCTGCATGTTTGTTCACCTGAGTGTAGTGCTGAAAAGGTCCAGAAGAGAGTGTTGGATTCACCAGGACCTGAAGTTGTAGGTAATTATGATCCACACAACCTGGATACTGGGAATTGCACTCTCATAGACCTCTACAAATGCAGTAAGCACTCTTAACCACTGAGCCACTTCTCCAACCTAATCTGTTTGGTTTTTTTTATTATTATTAAAAAATTTTCTATTCATTTTACATACCAACCACAGATCCCCCCCTCCTCCCTCTTCCTGTCCCCCAGCCTTCCCCCCCAACCCACCCCCATTCCCACTTACTCCAAGTCAAGGTCTCCCATGAGGAGTCAGCAGAGCTTGGTACATTCAGTTGAGGCAGGTCCAAGGCCCTCCCCGCTGCACCAAGGCTGTACAAGGTATCATACCTTAGGCACTAGGCTCCAAAAAGCCCACTTCATGCACCAGAGATGAATCCTGATCCCCCTGCCTACCCCCCCCAAACAGTTCAAGCTAAACAACTATCTTGAGTATTAGAGGGCCTAGTCTAGTCCCATGGGGGCTCCACAGCTATTGGTCTATAGTTTGTGGGTTTCCACTAGTGTGTCTAGTTGTCTCTATATGTTTTTCCCATCATGATCTTCATGTCCCTTGCTTATAGCATCCCTCCTCTCTCTTATCGATTGGACTCCGGGAGCTCAGCCTGACACCCAGCCATGGATCTCTGCATCTGCTTCCATCAGTCACTGGATGAAGGCTCTATGATGACAGTTAGGGTATTCACTAATCTGGTTACCGGAGTAGATCAGTTCAGGCACCCTCTTGACTATTGCTAGTAGTCTAAGGTGGAGTCATCCTTGTGGATTCCTGGGAACTTCCCTAGCACCCTGTTTCGTCCTATTCCCATGGTGTCTTCATTTATCATGGTATCTCTTTCCTTGCTCTCCCACTCTGTCCCTGTTCCAGCTCGAACCTCCCATTTCCTTATGTTCTCATCCCACATTCCTTGCCCTCCATTACCTCCACCCCCACCCCCAGTTTGCTCATGTAGATCTCATCTATTTCTCCTTTGCTGGGCTATCTATGTGTCCCTCATAGGGTCCTCCTTGTTAGCTAGCTTCTCTGGAGCTGTGGGTTGCAGTCTGGTTATCCTTTACTTTACATCTAGTATCCACTTATGAGTCTGAGTTACCTCACTCAGGATGATATTTTCTAGTTCCATCCATTTGCCTGCAAATTTAATGATATTGTTTTTTACTGCTGCATAGTACTCCATTGTGTATATGTGCCACATTTTCTTTATCCATTCTTCAGTTGAGGGCATCTAGGTTGTTTCCAGGTTCTGGCTATTACAAATAATGCTGCTATGAACATAGTTGAGCATGTGTCCTTGTGGTATGATTGAGCATTCCTTGGGTATATGCCCAAGAGTGGTATAGCTGGGTTTTGAGGAAGATTGATTCCCAGTTTTCTGAGAAACTGCCATACTGATTTCCAAAGTGGCTGTTCAAGTTTGCATTCCCACCAACAGTGGAGGAGTGTTTCCCTTGCTCCACATCCTCTCCAACATAAGCTGTCTTCAGTGTTTTTGATCTTAGCCATTCTGATGGGTATAAAATGGTATCTCAGAGTCGTTTTGATTTGCATTTCCCTGATGACTAAGGATACTAAGCAATTCCTTAAATATCTTTCAGCCATTTGAGATTCTTCTGTTGAGAATTCTCTGTTTAGCTCTGTAGCCCATTTTTTAATTGGATTGTTCAGTAATTTGGTGTCTACTTATTTGAATTCTTTCTATATTTTAGAGATCAGTCCTCTGTCAGATGTGAGGTTGGTGAAGGTCTTTTCCCATTCTGTAGGCTGTTATTTTGTCATTTTATTGACTGTGTCCTTTGCCCTACAAAAGCTTCTCAGTTTCAAGAGGTCCCATTTATTAATTGTTGCTCTCAGTGTCTGTGCTACTGGTGTTATATTTAGGAAGTGGTCTCCTGTGCCAATGCATTCAAGACTACTACATACTTTCTCTTCTATCAGGTTCAGAGTAACTAGATTTATGTTGAGGTCTTTGATCCACATGGACTTGAGATTTGTGCATGGCGACAGATATGAATCTATTTGCAATCTTTTACATGTTGACATCCAGTTATGCCAGCACCATTTTTTGAAGATGCTTTCTTTTTTTCCATGGTACAGTTTTGGCTTCTTTGTCAAAAATCAGGTGTTCATAGGTGTGCAGATTAATGTCAGGGTCTTCAGTTCAATTCCATTGGTCCACATGTCGGTTTTTATGCCAGTACCAAGCTGTTTGTATTACTATAGCTCTATAGTAGAACTTGAGGTCAGGGATCATGATGCCTCCAGAGGTTGCTTTATTATACAGGATTCTTTTAGCTATCCTGGGTTTTTTGTTTTTCCATATAAAGTTAAGTGTTGTTCTTTCCAAGTCTGTGAAGAATTGTGTTGGGATTTTGATGGGGATTGCATTGAATCTGTAGATTGCTTTTGGTAAGATTGCCATTTTTACTATGTTAATCCTACCTATCCATGAGCATGGGAGATCTTTCCATTTTCTGATATCTTCTTTGATTTCTCTCTTCAGAGACTTAAAGTTCTTATCATACAGGTCTTTCACTTGCTTAGTTAGAGTTATCCCAAGATATTTTATATTATTTGTGGTTATTGTAAAGGGTGATGTTTCTCTGATTTCTTTCTCAGCCCATTTATCATTTGTATATAGGGGGGCTAATGATTTTTTGAGTTAATCTTGTATCCTGCCACCTTACTGAAGGAGTTTATCAGCTGTAGGACTTCCCAGGTAGAATTTTTGGGGTCACTTATGTAGACTATCATATCATCTGCAAATAGTGAAAGTTTGACTTCTTCCTTTCCAATTTGTATCCCCTTGATCTCCTTTTGTTGTCTTATTGCCCTAGCTAAAACTTTATTGAATAAATTACTATATTGTACTACATTGAATAAATATGGGGAGAGTGGACAGCCTTGTCTTGTTCCTGATTTTAGTGGAATTGCTTTGCAAAATCTCCATTTAATTTGATGTTGGGTGTTGGCTTGCTATAAATTGCCTTTATTATGTTTAGGTATGTTCCTTGTATTCCTGATCTCTCTAGAACCTTTGCTGTGGATATCGCTCTGTATAAATAAAATGCTGATTGGTCTGTAGCCAGGCAGGAAGTATAGGCGGGACAAGCAGAGAAGAGAATTCTGGGAACAGGAAGGTTGAGTAAGGAGATGCTGCCAGCCACCACCATGAGTACCAACATGTAAGATACTGGTAAGCCACGAGCCATGTGGCAAGGTATAGATTTATAGAAATGGGTTAATTTAAGATGTAAGAACTAGATAGCTAGAAGCCTGAGCCACTAGGTCAAACAGTTTAAATAATATAAGAGTCTGTGTGTTTAATTTATAAGTGGGCTGTGGGACTGTTGTGGCTTGGCGGGAGCTCGAGAGA